ATCTGATTACTAACTACTTCTAATAATTTGACATAGTTTATGATTTAATTGGAAAATGAAGTGTTTTTTAAATAATAAACCCGTTTCTGATTCTGATTCTTTGATTTCTTTTTGACATATGGGTGTTGAGAGATGTATCCATATCTCTTAATGTTGCTCTCAAAGTGCACAAGATTGATGCTTTTAACTTCAGTATTTAAAAAAAGTCTTCCTGGGGGACCCCAGAGGAGGTGAGTTCCCCCCAAAATAGCACTTTATCTCTGCTTATGTAACTCCGGTGTAGTGTCCCCTCGTCAACAGATCACTCAGAGCTGGTGATTACTTTCCTGCATTTCAATGGACAGCATATAAAAAGGACACGTGAGCTGCATTGCTTAAGAGATCCTCTCATGCTATCTCTTTTACAAAATAAGTGTCCAGTCAACAACAAAACATCAGTGATCGTATAGTGGTAGTATATTTTTCACAAGCAATGTGAAACATTAAACTTATACAAACTGGTGTACAAAACTCACATACCTGCGTTGATCTCCTGGAGTGTCTCTACTCTTTCTTCTCCACATCTCTTGTCCACCATCAGAGATTGCAAACATTTCAGAAACAACTAGAGGTAGGGGACAAACAACTTGTTCGCTGGGCATGTCAAAAACCTCCCTGCTTTGATCAAGACTTTAGGGAGCCTTTCAGCCCCTCTAGTAAAGGGACTGGAAAGCAAGCTTTGCAAATTCAGTACCATCTACATGCTTGTCCTGTTCCAGACACTGCTCTCAACCACTCAGGGCCTGCACAAATACCTGCAGAAAGAAACAATTGACTTGGTGCAGGCAGTAGATTACAAAACAGCAGTTGAGAACACACTGAAAAGTTACCAAAGTAACGAGAAAGCACATGAGGTCTATGACAAGACCAAGGCCCTGTGCAATGATCTTGATATTCCCGAAACTGAGACACAGAGGAAGAAGCGTAGAAACATGGAAGACTTTGTAGTCGAGGCATCATGTGGAGCAATGTGAAACATTAAACATAAATAAACTGGTGTACAAAACTCGCATACCTGCATTTCAATGGACAGCATAAAAGGACACGTGAGCTGGGTTCTGGTGCTCAGATTAGCTATTGATGATCACGTTGATAAATCATATAAAAGAAATAGCCAATCACACTAAAAACATGTTGCTGTGACTGTGAGCATTAAACAATTAACATTAAACTAAACAAACACAACAGTACGTTATTGTCCTTATAAAATAAAAACATACATTTTGTCCACCGAGATAATACAGGCACCTTACCCTCAAGAGATCCTAACGTGTTATGAGAATCTCCCACAATCCATTGCCGTAACAAAGCTAATGCAGGCACACGTTTGTGACACCAGATGGCGCAATTGTGTATGTGCGTGTGGGGAGTCTTGCAGTAGAAAATGTGACTGTAGCGCTGCCACTGTGGGCTAAGCCCCGAATGTTTCCAGGTCCAGGCGACGCCCCTGGTCATAGCCATATAGTATAAAAGTCTTACCCAAGGCTGAATCATAAACTAAACTGTATATATGTATTACGGGTTACGTCCTTAGCTGGCTAATAAGCTACATAACAGGCTAAGCTAACAAGCACACAAACACCTGCTAACGGGGTTAACATGTGTAATATTATCATTTTACTCACCGAAAAAAGCTGAAAGTAGACTTCTTGGAAGATCTGTTAGTACATCAAGCGCACAGCACGACATTTTAATTAACTGGTATTTGTAACAATATTCCCTAACAGGCACGATCACCACGAACACAGCTAAAGGATCAAGTACAGTAACTACAACTAACTAACGTTGTAGCCTCTATGGTTGTAGCCTAGCAGATTGGACAAGTTGCTGTTAGCTGACAGTGAGGCACGTATCTGTCAATCAAAGTGACCACGCCCTAATGTATGCACAAACTTTAAGACCTAATATAAATATAAAGGGTCGCGTTAGAAAACAATTCACTCACAGATCCATAATCATGAAGGTGGAATCTAACTATATCGATAATAAAATGTATGGAGCCAGGGGTAAGAAACATGTTTTTTTTCTGCTGTAAAATCGGGCATTTTAACATGGGGGGTCTATGGAAATTGCTCCTTTCTGCAGCCATCGCCTATCGGCCAATATATGAACTGCAGTGTGTGGCACTTCCGTATTGGCTTCCCGGCTCTACCCCACAGTTTGCCGCTTGGTTGGATACTGCAGAGGTGCACCAGGTGTTGGGTATAAAATATCCACTTTGTGTTGCCTTCCTGTACGAATGATAGAGGGGGGGGGGGAAGTATGGCTTGCATCTGCAGGGGCGGACTGGGGGGAAAAAGTGGCCCGGGGATTAATTGACAGACAGGCCCACTTAATGCGCGGCATGTATCGGCCGGCCGGCGAAGAAAGTATGTTACTTAACAAAAAATCCTATGCATTTAATGTTATCTTGGACCATTATTCATATAGTAATCACATTACCTGAGCCCTTGAGTTGCCTAAGCAACATAGTTACAGCATATATTTAGTGATTTTAATGTTAACAGATCATTGATGCAATAACATTTGGACCCAATTTGCCTGACTTGACGCATGGAATAAAACATGGTCGTAGGAAGCATCCTCAATGTGGGTGAGACAATTTAACAGGAGGTGTGGGCAGGCAAAATGTTGAAGTTAAATGCATCAATCTGGTGCACTTTGAGAGCAAAATTAGGGACTAAATCTATGGCAGTCAGTAGGGGCTTGGACTGTGAGCCGTAGGGTCGCCGGTTCAAGTCCCCGACTAGACCTACATTTGGAGTGTGGACTTCTACTTGGAGGGGTCCCAGTTCACCTCCTGCCCTGCCATGGTGCCCTTGAGCAAGGCACCGGACATCCCCCTTCCCCCCTCACTCCCATTGCTCCCCGGGCGCTGTACAATAGCTGCCCACTGCTCCTAGTACTAGACTCCTAGTACTAGGATGGGTTAAAAGCAGAGAACACATTTCACTGTGTGTGCTGTGTGCTCTGCATGTGTGACCATTAAAAGAGGGGTGCAGCCCGCCCAAGGCGGGCGGGGGCGGTGGCGGGCGGCGGAGGCTTTGCGTCTTCGGTGGCTTGCTTTTCTTCTTCTTCTTCTTCTTCTTCGTCTTCTGCTTCCTTCGTCTTCGGTCTTCGGCTGCTCTTCTTCTTCTTCTTCTTCTTCTGTCTTCTTCTCTCTTCTTCTTTTCGTTCTTGCTTCTTCTCTTCAACCACCCATAGTAAAACAGAACGGTAAACAGATTTACTTTTTCTTTCAACATGGTATTTGAACAGCAAGTGGAGGCACAAAGTGGACTGCAGCACCCAAACAAATAAACCTGCTAGCTAACTAGCCTAAACTCAATAACAGAATGTTGGGCAACACGTTCTTCTCCACATGCCGCGTAACTTCTGAAGTGCAGACGTCACTCTCTCCCCCTTATTCTAAACTACGGGTGTACAGCCGTAACAGCACTCCCCCTGAACCCCAGTTTCCCTAAATGTGGCCCTCCGGCCCCCACGCAACAGGGCACCGGCCCACCGGGGAAAATTCCCAATGGCCAGTCCGCCCCTGTCTGCAACAATTACTTAAGTACCAGAGGGATTGACTTGAAGAAGTTGAGGCACATGAGGGGGACGGGTGGCGCAGTGGCCTGTGCATCTGATCATCAGATCAAGGGGGAACTAACTACAATGTGCAAAATGTGCAGATTAGAGTTTGTTATGAGTGCATTTTGACTTTAAACCTCATAAAACAAAGTGAATGCCTTGTGACGTGCCTGTCTTAGCATCAGTCTTTTTTGCAAAAACTTGAGACTTTATTGTGACTTGGAAAACAATGACTAACTAACTAATGCTAACTAGCCACATCTTATCAGGTACAAATTACACATTGTCTGTATAAACCCACCCTTCTGTAAAGGTTCATGGAAAACACAGTTTCCTGGGCACTGAGAGACAATTGTGTGAGAGGATGTGTCCCATACAGCAGGCGGATTGTGCCATCTTGTGGAAAGACACCAACATTACCGCCACATTTTATGCATCACGTCCTTAATTCATTTTCCATCTGACTTCTAAAACTCTCAACAGAGAAAAATGACCATTATGTTTAACCAAATAGATGACTGATATTGATAGAATAATGTTTCTCCCTGTTCGTGTTACAATTTCACATGAGACCATGCTCCACTAAGAATAATACAATTGAAATAACCGTGAAATCAGAAGTTTTGAGAACATAGACTTTATTCATTTAATATAAAATTGCAACAGAAACTTTCAAAAAAGTTGAACAGGTGTCAGCTAATATTCTCGGGGGACAAAAGCTGGCCTGCATTGCAGACGCCGAAGGGTATTTGACTTTCACATCATCCCCTTGAACAGTTCACATCATTCTGCAAATAAAGACACATCTGTACAGTAAAACTACCAGCAGAGGCCGGCCTAAGGCTGGGACAAACCACTGAACTCTTTACACTCCTCCTTCCCTGCCTTTCTCTCTTTATACATCCCTGACTCCTCCTCACACTCTTTCTTCTTCCCCCATTTTTCTCCTTCTTCTCATTTTCCTTTTTTTCAATCTTCTTTCTGACCCTTCATGTCCCTGAGCCCTTCTTCTCTGATTGGTTCCAGACGTGCCACTGAGCTCTTCTTGCCGACTCAACATTCCACAGCTGGAGACTGCACACACTCACTCACGCGTGCGTGCACACACACACACACACACACACATACCATGTATACATCACTTCAGGGGACATTACATTGACTTACATGCATTTCCTGGAGACTTATCCTAACCTTAACCATAACCAACACATGCCTAACCCTTAACCTTACCCTAACCCTAATCCTAAACCTAACCAAGTCTTTACCCTAAAATGAATGATTCCCCTCATGGGGACCTCCAATTTGTCCCCATAAAGGAGGCGAGTCCCCACACATGACTGTGTAAACAGATTTAGGTCCCCACAAGTATAGTAATGCTAGGCCACACACACACACACACACACACACACACACACACACACACACACACACACACACACCTCCTCCTCCCCTCCCCCTCTATGTAAGTCCAACTCACAGAGCAAAAAAAGCAGTTTTTTTCACAGCAGCTCTTTAAGACACCAAAAGACTGAAATGTCTCCAAAGCATTTGTGCAAGCAGAAAGACAGAAATGAACTCAGAGACTTCAGCCAAGGGAAAAAAAGTTTGGGGAAGTAAATGAACTCAGAAAAATGTGGTCATTACGCTGCACAGATGTGAAATCATGAAATGACAGGGATGAAGAACGGAATGAGGTTTTGTTTTTACAAAATTGTGAATGTACTCATAAAAAACTTTCTTTGGCTCAAAGTGGTGTCATTCACCTAAGGGAAGTTTTCTTTTGTGGGGCAATGGGAGGTTCAAGTTTCTTTGTTATCCCATTAAAGTAGCGAAGCATTACCAGTGGTATGCAAAGTCAAAACACTTAATGAGACCAGCATCAATCCCAAGAGAGAGATACAGAAGAATATCTTACAAAAAGCCCATACAGAGAAGTGAAATCCGGCTCATGCAAATGATGCATCAGAAAAATATCAAATTGCAAACCCTTTTTAGAAGAAGAAGAATTGGGGAGGGATGAAACCCTCTTTTAATAGTCACACATGCAGAGCACACAGCACACACAGTGACATTTGGCCTCTGCATTGAACCCATCCTAGTACCAGGAGTCTAGTACTAGGAGCAGTGGGCAGCTAGTGTACAGCGCCCGGGATGCACTACTTTTTCAATAGTGCATACAAAGTGAATACTGCCCTTACAAATGCTGAAACAGCACCAGATGAAAAAAAACAAAAAAAAACGTTTGGCATCATTGAACAGCAACTATACCTTAGCGGAAATGACGAAAGGCAAGTGGATTAATAACATCAAGTTAGTAGTAGAAAGTGCCTAAATGTAGGTGATTCCATGGAAGCTGAAAGTCTGATTGTGTAGTCTACTTAAAGTCCAGTTTTAAATACTAAGGACAGAACTTAGTATCAGTAATGTCCACAATTCTAGTGTACTGCCCTTAGACGGTCACCACTAACAATGGTCCCTGTCACCCTCCACACATTCAAATTTGGACTTGTTCCTCCTCTACTTGTCTGACAGCTGGTGCTGACGTGTCAGATCATAGAGGAGGAGAGAGGCAGACTCACAAAAAACAGACATGCATCATCAGTAACAGTTCCCCACAGCAGTACAGATCATGACAAATGAATGGGAATAACAGGAATGCAATAACAACAAAACACCCCAATGTCAGGTAAATACTGTCATGGCAAAACAGAAACATTTAAAAAGTGAATTTGTTCCTGAAGAAAACTGTGACTGTGTATTTAGAGGACAGAGCCAAATGGTGTCGATCTGTGATTGTATGTTTTGCTATGTATGTTTTTCAATCAAAAAGGGAACCACAAAGGAAATATACACCAACAAAAGCTGACATTGGCACCAGAGTAAATACTGTGGAGTTATTTCATAAAAAACGAGTAATGTTGAATTATCCTGCTTCGAGTGGATCCATCCATGAATGCTTTTGGGGAAAAGATGTACATATGGAAGGATCTGTGGTTTCCTGCAGAGATATTGATAGGGCTGTTAAGTCTTGGCAAAAGAGGATTTGGAAGGCGGGAATTCAATTAAAAAATTAAACATCTGCTGCGCTCTACACAGCCCTTCAGCACTTTAAAAATCTTTCTTTGGTTTCAAATGAGACAACAAAAGATCAGTCAACAGTCCACACTTTGAATTCAGCCTCTCCAGTGTCATGGTGCTACTCCGCCTGCTCGTTCAGCTCCATGTCCGACACCAGGATGTTCTTCTCTACCTGCTCAGCATGGTTGGAGTTGGTGCGGCTGTACCGGGCCCCTTCATAGGACCCCCGGGACCCGATAGTTCGCCGGCGGTAGAAGTAGAGAATGCCAACGATCAGCACCAACAGCACCAGGGACGTCACAATGACAACAATCAGAGTGGGCAGGTGGTCACTGTCCACTAGGTAGAGGTGGAAGATGTAAAACAGGATTAGTTTCAATAATCCACTTTCAGGTGAAATAATTTATTATTCACCCCGAGTAAACATACTTACTTGTGACAGCTGCGGTTTCAGCACCTGAAAATAGTAAAATTGACAGTGAGTAAAATTGGATCACTTCAGTTTGTTAGTCTAGTGTTGTTAGTGTGGGAGTGGTGTAACATACATCTATGATTAAGAAGAAGTGGAAAGAATTAGATCACTTTACTGTATTTATATAGCCCCACCTATTAAAATATATATATTTTGGAGTCCCAAAGAGTATGTTTTTTCCTTGATTGATTTGGTATTTGGCATTCATTTAGTGGGAATGCTGTTAACAGCATTCCAACTATCTGTTATTCTACGCACAAAATTCTTTAATTTTATTCCGCCCGTTATTTTGCCGGTCTTCTCCTCCCGCATTGAACATTGCAGAAACTCTGTTCAAACATCAAAAAGTGAAGCTCGGTCGGGAATCGAGTGCTATAACTTTTTATCATTCATAACTTTCATAATTCCAGAGATACATCCCATAATTCATCACATTTTTAACCATTGAAGTCAATGGAGAAAATCTTCAGACTTGAACAATCTTCATGCAACTTCAACTGCTAACTGTTCCTTCATACTTTCACTCAGAAACCTCATTCCAACTTTAAAATGTTACACGTCTTTATGACATTATTCGTGTAACACAACTTTTAAATCTGATTCTTACTTTTAAAGATATTAAACATTGTTCAGACCTTGGTAAAGAGGCTTTCTTCAGATTTTAACATTAACTAGAGTGCGTGATGTCACAGCTAGAGTATAGGAAATCTTGAAATTTGCCTTCATATTTTTTTTTAACTGCCATAATTCCCAAACCCTACATTCCTGACACATACTTTTTCATGACAAACGTAGGAAAACATCTCGTAGCTTGAAAAATTACAAATAATTAAGCAAAAAATAATTAAACAAAATGCCTTGTGACGAAGGTAACTTCGTCACTGTGGACTGACGGCTTCGGGCCTTGTAACATTGCACATGTGGTTTGGTTTGGGGGTGTTCCCCAAACCCGTTTTGTCTGTTGCTCCTGATTGTGTTCACCTGGTGCCCTGTGTTGTCTCCTCCCCCCTCACCTGTGTCTAATTGCTCCCCCCTCACCTGTGTCTAATTGCTGATTAGTGTGTGGGTATTTAGGCTCTGTTTCCCTGTCTGTGGGGGGGTGTGTGTGAGAGATCCTTGTTGCTGCAGGCTGTGGTCAGGGAGATACAGCAGGATTGAGGCTGTGTGTCATGTGTTCATGACTTAATAAATGCCCACACCGGGTTGTATTTTGGACGTTCTGTCTCTGCCTCCTTGCTTGGTCGGGCCGCTCAATTGTCAGCGTCACAATTGGTGTCAGAAGTGGGATTGACCAAGTGAGGAGGTGAAAACGATGGAGGAACTGAGGGAGATTATGAAGTCATACATGCAGTATGAGACAGCCAGATTCAAGCGGGAGGAGTGCCATTTGGGAAACATGGAGCAGCCGTTTTCAGGGATACAGGCACAGGTTTCCCTGACAAAAGAGAACAGACAAAAGGCAGTGCCGGCTGCAGAGCAACAAATGCCTCAGGCCACTCCATCGAAGAAGAAGGGTAAGAAAAGTAAAATGGAGCCGGGTGCAGTGGAAGAGGAGGGTCTCGTGAGTCCAGCTGAAACGACAGCGGAGGAAAAGAAGAAGAAGAAGGGGGAAGAAGGTGGACGGTCAGGAGGAGGTGTAGTCTGAGGACCAACCAGCAGGGGGCGATGCAGAGACGGAAAAGGAGCCGGAGACAACAAACGCAGACGCCTCTCTGCTCGCGAAGGGCAAAAAGAAGAAATGTCTCCGGAAGAAACTGAGTCTGAAGAAGAGACAGAGGATCCAGAAGAAAGAGACGCAGAAACACCGGGCGGAGTGGAGACACATGGAGGAGAGCAAAATGGCCAAGATCCATAAGTGTCGCAGGAATGAGGTACTGTTCTCTTTCGGGAGAGGAAGGAGGAAATGTGACGAAGGTAACTTCGTCACTGTGGACTGACGGCTTCGGGCCTTGTAACATTGCACATGTGGTTTGGTTTGGGGGTGTTCCCCAAACCCGTTTTGTCTGTTGCTCCTGATTGTGTTCACCTGGTGCCCTGTGTTGTCTCCTCCCCCCTCACCTGTGTCTAATTGCTCCCCCCTCAACTGTGTCTAATTGCTGATTAGTGTGTGGGTATTTAGGCTCTGTTTCCCTGTCTGTGTGGGGGGTGGTGGGTGGGAGATCCTTGTTGCTGTGATCAGGGAGATACAGCAGGATTGAGGCTGTGTGTCATGTGTTCATGACTTAATAAATGCCCACACCGGGTTGTATTTTGGACGTTCTGCCTCTGCCTCCTTGCTTGGTCGGGCCGCTCAATTGTCAGCGTCACATGCCTCTTGAGGGCATGAAGTGACAAAAACTTTCAACATGTCTCCATTAAAGCCCATTGTAATTTCAGGCTGATATTTCCTCACAGCAGCAGCCGCACACCTTTAGTTAATCTGCCAAAAAGGCCACATTATTGACCCGAAAGTACACAAAAAGCACACTTCAGATACTCACGGCCCGTCTACACTACAGGCATCGAAAAATGCTTTCAACGCTTCGCCCATTCATTTGAATGGGGTGACGTAGAAGATTTTTAAACTTCGCCGAACTGCATTGTGGCGAGCATGGCATGGCTTTGCAAGCATCACGAGCATCTATCGGCATCAAAAGTTGAACAATGTTCAACTTTTGAGGCTCGATGCTTGGCATCAGCCAATCAAATCCCGCGTATGCAAATCTGACAGTACAAGCGCTAGCCAATCAAACCTCGTGTATGCTGGGAGAGACTACGCAGGTCATTTCCTCATATTCAAAAAAATTGAGGGAAAATTCATTATAGCGGTAGTGAATCACCCGGTGCTGTATGATCAGTCTCTGTTCATCTACCGGGATACAAACCGGAGGAGCGAGGCATGGAGGGAGGTGGCAGAGACAGTGGATGAAACTGGTAGGTTTTTGCCTGTTTGGGGATTTTATATCCAGTTTACTTCTTTTTAACATTGCTATTGCTTTGTATGTCGGGGGCGGGCGGGAGATTTGTGATTGGTTGTTGGTCGCCTTGGGTGCGAGAAATCGCCAAGCCTCAGACACGCCCAGCTTCAAGATTTTTTGATGCCGGTAGTGTAGACGGGCCGTCAAGGTCCTTAAGATGCTTCACGCTTTGAAATTTCACCGATATCTGTTACGGTTCTTCAACAAAATGTTCACATGTAAGAGGTTTATCTCTCATTCAGAACAATGGAAACCTTTGATCTCTGGACACCTCGTTAGCTCAAATATAAACACCTGTGTCATGGAACACGATGATGTCATAACTCCAACTGACATGCTCAGAGCAGCAGACTTCAGATAATGGTTAATGGTCCTGCCCTCAACAGCTCTACGTCAATTATGGGGTGTCATCATATGCCGTTTCCATGGAAACGCATCCCTCAGATGTGTTTCCATGGAAGATCAAGAGGGCGATCAAGAGAAGAGAGAGAGGGTGATAGAAGAGTGAGAGGGTGATCAAGAGAGAGAGGGCGATCAAGAGAAGAGAGAGAGGGTGATGGAAGAGTGAGAGGGTGATCAAGAGAAGAGAGATAGGGCGATCAAGAGAAGAGAGAGAGGGCGATCAAGAGAAGAGAGAGAGGGCGAGCAAGAGAAGAGAGAGAGGGCGATCAAGAGAAGAGAGAGAAGAGAGAGAGTCAAACTAAAGTGGAGACATGGCAGAAACCCTACAGTGAAGTGTTCTCCTGTGAGAGGGCGACCAAGAGAAGAGAGAGAGGGCGATCAAGATGAGAGAGAGAGGGCGATCAAGAGAAGAGAAAGAGGGTGATCAAGAGAAGAGAGAGAGGGCGATCAAGAGAAGAGAGAGAGGGTGATAGAAGAGTGAGAGGGCGATCAAGAGAAGAGAGAAAGGGCGATCAAGAGGAAAGAGAGGGCGATCAAGAGAAGAGAGAGAGGGTAATAGAAGAGTGAGAGGGTGATCAAGAGAAGAGAGAGAGGGCGATCAAGAGAAGAGAGAGAGGGTGATAGAAGAGTGAGAGGGCGATCAAGAGAAGAGAGAAAGGGTGATCAAGAGGAAAGAGAGGGCGATCAAGAGAAGAGAGAGAGGGTAATAGAAGAGTGAGAGGGTGATCAAGAGAAGAGAGAGGGCGATCAAGAGAAGAGAGAGGGTGATCGAGTGAGAGGGTGATCAAGAGAAGAGAGAGGGCGATCAAGAGAAGAGAGAGAGGGCGATCGAGAGAAGATAGATAGGGCGATAGAAGATTGAGAGGGCGAGCAAGAGAAGAGAGAGAGAGAGAAGAGAGAGGGCGATCAAGAGAAGAGAGAGAGGGCGATCAAGAGAAGAGAGAGAAGATAAGAGAGAGAGTCAAACTAAAGTGGAGACATGGCAGAAAACCCTACAGTGAAGTGTTAGGGTTAGGGGGTTAGGGTTAGGGGTTAGGGTCTCTCTAAGAGAGAGAGGGCGACCAAGAGAAGAGAGAGGGTGATCAAGAGAAGAGAGAGAGGGCGATCAAGAGAAGAGAGAGAGGGCGATCAAGAGAAGAGAGAGAGGGTGATCGAGAGAAGAGAGAGAGGGCGATAGAAGATTGAGAGGGCGATCAAGAGAAGAGAGAGAGTAATGTAACCTCCTAATGTAATGTATAACTCCTATGAAAATATTCAAAAGTGCTCAAACTTCACATGTGTGCTAACAGTCCAGCCGTGAAGACATCTACGGGACAGTTTTGAGATTTCTTAAAATGTCGTTGCCATGGCAACACAATGATCACCATGAAACACGGTTTTCTCATAACTTCAGTGAAAATGCTCCAAACGGCCCAAAACTTCGACAGATCATTCGCCATCAAGTTAGTTCAAAAGTTTGCAGTTTCCAAGCCTTTTTACTTTCTTTTCTTCTCTCATCACACATTCAAGCCCCCAGTGTTCATGTATCATTTCAATCTAAATTCTTCACTTTCTTCTTACACATTACATTTCAGCATAGCAATTCAGCGTCAGCTTTTCAGCATAAAGCATTCCCACTAGCAATTTCTTCAGGAATTGCATTCTCTAGTTTTAATTGCACTTCATCTCATCCTGTGTGTTTTCCTGTGCCACTGTTTCTGCAACCTTACACACATGTGTTTTGTTCTGTTGCTGCTTCATTTTTCACTTATTTTCTTTCAACAATACAATCAAAATAGGGATGTACCCTGTGAACCTCTTTCAATTGATAAGCCAATATTTTTTCTCTAGCTTCTTCAGCATTCATGAAACCTTAAAAATTGTTTAATTTGGTCACTACAGTGGTTCTGAGAATAACTTCCCCATGGCTATACTGTAAGTGTGTGCTTACTTCGAGGGCGTTTGCAGATGACTCCATGTGTTCGGTTTCTGCATGAGCCTGGCTTCCACAGGCCGCTGTTGCTCTCGATCCAGAAGCAGGAGTTTGGAGATAGAACAGAGAAGGCGACATCATGTGCCTCCCAATTGGTGTAGGACATCTCTGTGTCCTCGGCCCAAACCAAACCTCTACCTGCAGTAGGAACACAAGCACACACACACACACACACACCACACACACACACACACACACACACACACACACACACACACACACACACACACACACACACACACACACACACACACACACACACAAACACATTCAGTGGAGTGTCAAACACATTCAAGCAGAACTGTTTCAATAGTGTTATCTTAAGACAAAATAATTAGTTACATCCTGTTCTGCTTCACATTTATTTTTTAGCCAATATATTCAGTTCTTCCCATTAGCTTATCAAGCACATTTCAGGGTGTTTTACTTTAATTATCCAATTACACTAAGAGATAATAATTCAATTGGAATTAATCAATTTGACCTTTATCACATTTATTTGACAGAAGAGCATTAGTCTTAATTAGGTTTCCTGTATTTAATTAAGACGTTTCATGATTATTCTATTAAAGAAATTATAATCGATCAGGTAAAACTTTCTGACTTATCTGGAAGAAGAATTACAAAATATCTTTATAAGCAGCCTTAAATTAATAACCTTGTATTATAACAACTTTTGAAAATCTGAAGGTTAATAAGTTTGCAGCTGTAGAGGGTGATGTAACTGTCTGATGCAACATTGCAGGACCTTTGACACTGATGCCTAGCCAAGCTCCATGCGCCTGCTCTGCATAGCTCTGGATGTGTTCCCACACAAATCCGTTTTCTGTCTCGTCCAAGATAGAGAGAAGTTCAGCTCCCACTAGAAGAGAGAAAAGGGAAGAAAACACAGAGAATTAACAAAAGAGAAAATGGAATTGATCATGTAAGGATGTCTAACAACGGTGCAGTTCAGTGAATAGCTGTTCTAAATTTAGACATATTGATGCATTTTGTCAATTATGTCTGCAGTGCAGAAGGTCAGAAGTGTTGCACTTAATTGGCTTTCAGGATCACGAGCTGTACGGACGAGGGAGTTTATGAAACTCTTTCCTACCTTTTTTACAGGATGTTCGTGCATCCTGCTGCAGTCTAAGACTTTGCAGATTAAAGGCATAACAGTTGTGTCTGAAAGGCACCCACGCCCACTCTCCCAGAGAGTGGGGGCACTGGCCAGGGAAGACCCAGTCGTGCAGCACAGGGTCATCTGGCAAGGAGAAAAACAAAATAGTTAATACAGTTAATGCAACAAACGTTTTTTAGACTGCAAAATAATAACACAGAAAATGCTGTAATATGGGTAAAAAAGTGTCACAATTCATAATAATGTTTAGGCCTGATATTGTTTGAGGGTGCACAGGTAAACGGTTGGTTTAGATCTGTATATTGGTTTGGAGGGGGTGAAAAAGTAGTACAACTTTGTCTATTCATTGTTAAAACTCCTTTGTTTGAACTTTGCATTTCTTGAGTCAGTAATAAAGGGGGACAAATATTTAGTGGATGCGGACATGTTATCAGAGAAAATGACAGGTAAAGTGTTTTCAAACAATAGCACTGTGTGTGGCTTTATGGTGATTTGGTTTGTGCATGTTTGCAAAATTGCAATTGATTTGTATTAATTTGTTACATTACAAACGTACCACTCATTTGACAGATAGCAGCGTCCAGTTTATCATCACAGGAATTCTTGGTCCACTGCCCAGTAGTGGTCATGTGAACGCATCCAGCTGTCTGATGCGGCTCCCCATATTTCCAGTTTGTATACGTCACTTCTTCTTCACCCAGCCAGGTGAATCTCCGTCCCTGAGAAAAAAAAAGTTGCTATAAACAGTCTCCTCAGGCAGGACAATAACTTTGCAACTGTGTACCTCTAAACGTCTTAACATGTGTCTTAATATTATAAGCAGACACACGGTGAGGTAACAGGCTCACTCCATAATTGTAGAGTCCTATCCATGCGGGCCGGTGCAGTCTGTTGATCAGGAGTGTGAGGTAAGCCTGCTGGTAGGGATCCTTCAACATGGCCAGGGTCCCATTCAAAGATTCACAGAGGTGCAGGGCTCCGATCCAGTCCAGACGCTTCTCCACAACCCGGTAAGTCACTCCACCCAGCTCAACAGGCGTTGACAGGGAGGCAGGGATAAGGACCGGGGCTGGGGGCAGACCTGAATCTGAAGAAATTACAAAGTTGCATAGAATGGTTCAAGTCAACTTCTCTTTGTGGTCCAAATTCTCCACACTTTTTTAAAGCAGAAAACGTTTGTGGACATCATACCTTGTTGCCTTTGACAGATGAAGCCATTACTTTCCATCTCACAGGCTCGGGAGGCCCACATGCCGGTGTTCTTCTGTGGGTTCCCATGAATCATCACCACACAGTTTCCCTGGGAGAGGACAGAAACATTTTCAGAACAGGAACAGGTCGAGGATAACATCACAACTTGTGTGCTTATATGCGAGTGTTGTGGGAGTACCGGGGTCCTGTTGTGGTGTGGTCCGCTGTTGTCGAGGGGCTCTCCAGGAGCCCAGTTGGTGTAGCTCAACAGGCCTGGCTTGGCCCACTGGAAATGACCTTTAGAGTCTGAGGTCAGACCCACCCATAGGTCAACACTGGCATTTTGAAGCAGGGTGGTGACGAAGGCTGAGAAAGGAATTGATTGCATCAGTGTGAATGTTGGCAGTGAGACTCAGTGAGACTCAGTAATGAATAAAGCGATTCCAATTGAAACTAAAATGACACTTGGAGTGCACAGAGGGATGCAGCAATGCAAACGGTTGTCTGTCAGTTAGCCGACAACATATTCTGCTTGGCAGGGTCAATAAAAAGACTCATGCTCTAACATACTACATCAATCTGATGCTCACCATCTCAGACCAGACATTTATCTACTAAAAGTAGTAGGATCTGAAAGATGAATAATGTACATTCAAGTAGAGAGATTAATTCATGAACCTTTGTTTAACATTGTGCTGGATGTTTTGTATTATGCTGTTATTACCTTGCTCCAAATGATTGGACACCACTGCCGGTACACCTCCCTGCGTTTCACATTTCAACTTGGTTGCAGACCATGTGAGTCGGTGTGACTGATCAAATGCTCTGAAACACTGCAGAAACACCACAAGTCATTGCAATCATTTATTAATTTAATATTGATCAGGTTAGGTTGAGTTGGAAACAGAGCAGGTGCCTGAAAACAACAGTTTTCTTACCTGCCTATATGATATATTTCTTTGATGCATTTGATACACCCTGAATCCTTTATATTTCTATATACTATCATTAACCAAGCACTGTACTATTTATAAACTCACATTCTTACATTTTGTTCAGTTGGACTTTGCACACACATTGTTTAAAGTAAGTAAACAAGATAACACGTACATAGTCAAAGTTGAGAACAAATGCAATGCAAATACATGGGTACCACTTTACAATAAGACTACCCTTATAAAAGATTCATAAAGGGTTTATAATTAGGTTATTAATTAGGTTGTAAACACTTTATTAATCATTAAGAACCATTTATAAACCAGTTCTAACATAGTTTTCATACATCAACACAGGCTCACTATTTGGCAAGATGACTAAGCCTTATATTGGCTACCTAGCTTACTTCATCTTCTTCATCAGCCAACATCCTTGGCATCTGTGGTTCACTGAGTTGATTCTCCCCTTCCATCTTGATGTTTCTTTATGACCATTTATTTATGAGTTACTAACATTTATAACTGCCAAAAGGGAGCCTTGTAAAGTGTAAAACACATTTCCATTTTTTAATGAGTTACTACCATTTATAATTTGTTTGAGTCATATTAAGCCTTAAAGTTATGCATACATTAGGGCGTGGTCACATTGAGTGACAGGTAATTCCAGTGACTGCTGTGGTTAGCTTTCTGTCTCTCTGCTAGCAGCTCCGTGATGCTACAGGGGCTCCGCCTGCTCAGCTCATCCGGGGAACATAACTTAAACTCGGGCCGTGTTTGTTGTGCTGGTGCCTTGTGGACTATTCTTCATGCTTATATCTGACTATTGTGACTCGCTCTGCGGTTAAAACAGACGGTGCATGAATGCGGTTTTGCGGTAAGTGAAATTCGAGTACTTTATTTATGTGTTGCTTATGTTTTTAGTCAGCTAACGTAATGAATGTTAAGGCTTGGGTTAGCATGTAAGCAAGTGGTAGCTACATCTGTGCTATCGATGCTAATCGTGGCGTCCAAGTTAAAACGTAATAGAGAAGTGTTAAGCATTAAGTCGGATAATAGGCTACTGTTGAATAAATCGCTTTTGGTTGAGGTTGGTAAAATAAGGTCATCCTTGTAAGTTAGAGAGATATTTTATTAGGTAGGTAACTTTAAGCATTGCTAAGGTTAATTTAGTGGGAATGCTGACACAGCATTCCAACTATCTGTTATGCTACGCACAAAATTCTTTATTATTCCGCCGGGTTATTTTGCGCAACTTCTCCTCCCACATTGAACATCGCAGAAACTCCGTTCAAACATCAAAACGTTCAGCTCGGTCGGAATCGATGGCTATTACTTTTATCATTCATAACTTTCATAATTCCAGAGATACATCCCATAATACATCATATTTTTAACATGGAAGTCAATGGAGAAACTCTTCAGACTTCAACAATCTTCATGCAACTTCAACGGCTAACTACTCCTTCTTCAACTGCTAACTGCTCCTTCATACTTTCACTCAGAAACCTCATTCCAACTTTAAAATGTTACACATCTTTTCGTGTATTCATGTAACACAACAATTTAAATCTGATTCTTACTTTTAAAAGAGGCCTTCTTCAGATTTTAGAGTGCGTGATGTCACAGCTAGAGTGGAGGACAGATTTAATTTTGCCTTCATATTTTCTTTTAAACCTGCCATAATTCCCAAACCCTACATTCCCGAGACATACATTTTCATGACAAACGTAGGAAAACATCTCGTAGCTTGAAAGATAAAAAAAAATTAAACTAAATAATTAAACAAAATGCCTCTTGAGGGCATGAAGTGACAACAACTTTCAACATGTCTCCATTAAAACCCATTGTAAGTGCAGCCTCACCTTTCCCCACCACAGCAGCCGCACACCTTTAGTTAATCTGCCAAAAAGGCCACATTATTGACCCGAAAGTACACAAAAAAGTACACAAAAAAGTACACTTCAGATGCTCAAGTTCCTTGACATGCTTCACGCTTTCAAATTTCACAGATATCTGTTAGGGTTCTTCAACAAAACGTTCACATGTAACAGGTTTATCTCTCATTCAGAACAATGAAAATGCTCTCCTCTCACTGATCACCGTGGAAACCTTTGATCTCTGGACACGTCGTTAGCTCAAATATAAACACCTGTGTCATGGAACACGATGATGTCATAACTCCAATTGACATAATTAGAGCAGCAGACTAATGACGTGGTCACTGGAGTTTAACAGACTGTGTCAGCCTATTATTTTCCGTCTGATGGAGACTTCATACTGACTTCAACATGTTCCACATATTTTAGACATTATTGGTGATGTATGCTTTTAGTTCTAAAGTTTTCAGTTCAAATATTCTGCTGCTTTTTCATGCATTTAGACTTTTATTTTCTTGTTCTTATTTCACATTCAAGTCCCCTCTATTCATGAACCCTTTAAAGTACTCAGCCACACCACTTATATACCAGGTGCGACTGTTGCTATGTGAGTTAATCTTTCAAATACAAGGTTGCTTGTTTGATTCAAGCTCTTGTAGTCAATATGTCAAGGTATCTATCCCTAACATTTTATCAGCTAACTAATGACACACACTCAGAGGATCTTTATAAACGTTTTAAGTATTGCACATCTTTAAACATGACTCTTATAAATCACTTTTAAAACCAGCGATGCACTACAGTGTCAGCTTTTCTAAAATAGAAACTTCAATGTTCACATCTTTCTAAATTATTCTACTTTTCAATGACCCACAAACAATCCTAATAATAATAATCCCATTTTCAATCTTCCAACTGTTCATATTTTTTGGTCAATTAACAAACCTGTTACAAATGTGTTGTTCAACAAATTTGAGCCTTTGCCACATTTATTTGATCACTATGGAAACCTTTGATCTCTGGACACGTCGTTAGCTCAAATATAAACACCTGTGTCATGGAACACGACGATGTCATAACTCCAACTGACATGCTCAGAGCAGCAGACTTCAGATAATGGTTAATGGTCCTGCCCTCAACAGCTCTACGTCAATTATGGGGTGTCATCATATGCCGTTTCCATGGAAACGCATCCCTCGCCATAAAACATGATTTCGCTGTAACTCCAATGGACACGGTCCGATCGCCCCCCAAACTTCGCTTGTATATCACCGGTCCATGCCTCAATAGCTTTACGCCAAATCTGAGATCTCACCATAGGTTGTTGCCATGGAAACGCATCCCTCGCCATAAAACACAATGTCGCTGTAGCTCCAATGGACACGGTCCGATCGTCCCACAATCTTCACCTGTATATCACCTCTCCATGCCTCAACAGCTCTACGTCAAATCTGACATCTCACCATATGCCGTTTCCATGGAAACGCACCCCTCTCCATAAAACACGATGTTGTCGTAACGCCTATGAAAAGGGTCAAAACAGCACCACACTTCAGATAATGGTTAACGGTCCAGCCCTCAACAGCTCTACGTCAATTATGGGGTTTCATCATATGCCGTTTCCATGGAAGATGATGTCGCTATAACTCCTATGAAAATGTTCAAAAAGTGCTCAAACTTCACATGTGTGCTAACAGTCTAGCCGTGAAGACATCTACGGGACAGTTTTGAGATTTCTTCAAATGTCGTTGCCATGGCAACACAATGCTCGCCATGAAACACGGTTTTCTCATAACTTCAGTGAAAATGCTCCAAATGGCCCAAAACTTCACATATTTGGTAACGATGCAGCATCAACGCATCTAAGTGTATTATGGGATGTCATCAAATGCCGTTGGCATGGCGATAGATCATTCACCATCAAGTTAGTTCAAAAGTTTGCAGTTCAAATATTCTGCTGCTTTTCCAAGCCTTTTTACTTTCTTTTCTTTTCTCATCACACATTCAAGCCCCCAGTGTTCATGTATCATTTCAATCTAAATTCTTTACTTTCTTCTTACACATTACATTTCAGCATAGCAGTTTAGCGTCAGCTTTTCAGCATAAAGCATTCCCACTAGCAATTTCTTCAGGAATTGCATTCTCTAGTTTAAATTTGCTATGCTCGATTATGTAGACAAGCTAACGTCAAAGTAGTGTTGAAGAGCGGTGTAGTATATGTGAAATTAACCTCACAATAAGATGTGTGTATATTACAAATAATAATAATAATTTGTCATATTTCGGATACAAGCGGCCGAGATGGGTTTTCTCCGCAGGGTGGCTGGTGTCTCCCTTAGGGATAAGGTGAGAAGTTCGGTCATCAGGGAGGGACTCGGAGTTGAGCCGCTCCTCCTTCGCGTCGAAAGGAGCCAGTTGAGGTGGTTCGGGCACCTAGTTAGGATGCCACCTGGGCGCCTCCCTAGGGAGGTGTTCCAGGCACGTCCAGCTGGGAAGAGACCAAGGGGTAGACCTAGGACCAGGTGGAGGGATTATATCTCTTCGCTGGCCTGGGAGCGCCTTGGGATCCCCCAGTCAGAGCTGGTTGATGTCGCCAGGGAAAAGAAAGTTTGGGGCTCTCTGCTGGAACTGCTACCCCCGCGACCCGACCACGGATAAGCGGGAGAAGATGGATGGATGGATGGATATTTCAAGATGATTACTTAGATATTACAATATGGTTGGTTGAGCTGTAGTTCATTATTAAGCTTACACATTAACGTCACAGTCATATCTGAAGAACGAACCCAAAACTTGTTATTTGTATTAATTTGTATTAATTGTAAATAAATAAATAGTAAGCATTGGTAATACCAATGCTGATAAAGTAAACTATTTTATTTGAGTATTTATGTCTGGGAGAAGGTACTGTACCCAGTTCCTATGTTTGGCAGTTATAGACTGGGATTTCTTGTAAGAGAATAACACAAAATAATAAAAATCAATATGGACCATTACTGTATAATTATCCTTAAATGATGTTATACAGTATGGCATTTTGAAACATGATGTGCAACAATTTTAACTGTAAATTGTGTGCATTTTGTTGTTAACTAAGATGATGTTATGATTTTTAGTATGCACATCGTGGACGCTTTGGACATACCTGGAGAAGGAATAAATGGGTCTTCGGAATGATGGGAGTTAAAGACAAAAGGCGGAGACTAGTGTTGAAACTAGTGGAGAAACGATCAAGATGCCACCTTGTCCCTCTGATTAGACGGCATGTTAAGTCAGGAAGTAGCATGATGAGTGATGAGTGGAGGGCATACAGGAGAGTGATGAGGAACATGGGGTACAACCACTACACCATAAACCACAGCAGGTGGTTTGTGAACCCCCAGACTGGCAGTCATACCCAACATAGTGAAAGAGCTTGGTCGACCGTCAAAGGACATGTCCGTAGACTGATAGGAAACCGTACAGAGAGTTTGTTGGAGGAACACCTCAAGGTTCTTGAATGGTCATCTTGGCTTGGCTCTGCTCACCCTGATGGACTGCTTGGACGCTTGTTCAAGAATATACACAAAGCCTTTCCAGTCTGAGTACCATTATGTCTTACCAAGTCTTTCATTTATGTCTGAGAAAAGCTTTGATGTTTAAATATGTGTATCAGTCATACTAAATAGTCATTATTTTGATTTTCTTCATGTGTGAATAAAATGTTTTGCTTGGTTCTGTTGTATCTTACTTTGCATTTCATGTGAAAAATGTGTATTAGGTCAGCGTGAATGTTATAACTCATTCATAAATGGACATGTGTATTAAACTTAAAAACAACGCACCCTTTCAGTAGTTATAAATGTTAGTGTCTCATTAATAGATGGTGATGTGTTTCACACTTTACAAAAAGGCTCTCTTTTACCAATTATAAATGGTAGTAACTCATTAATACATGGGAATGTGTTTTACACTTTACAATAAGGCTCCCTTTTGGCAGTTATACATGTTAGTAACTCATTCATAAATGGTCATAAGAGATGCCAAGAAACATCAAGATGGAAGGGGGGAGAATCAACTCGGTGAACAACAGACACCAAGGATGCTGGCTGACTGATGAGGAAGATGAAGTAAGCTCATATAAGGCTTAGCAGTACAGATAAATGTGGGCTCACTATTTGGCAAGCAACCGGTCACAGTTGCCATGTTTATCTCATGTCTTATAAAAGCTTATTAATGATTTATAAAGTGTTCACAACCTAATTCATAAATGAATTACAAACTATTCGTAAACCCTTTATAAGGGTAGTCTTATTGTAAAGTGGTACCTATTCGGAACATAAATATTCAGAATGAGATTAATAAAAATGATAAAACCCCCAGTATGATCTCATAGTGTGTTGAAGCTCTACCTTATGTTGGAAGGAAGACCATCCGTCATGGCAGCCTGCAGGTGGGTGTGGGATTGAGGGGGTTGGAGGGATGGTGCCTGTGACATTCACTCTCTTACAGATGTAGGGAAGGTCAGAGTGGCACTTCTGATCAGCCCAATCTGCTGTTTTGGAGTGGAAAATACATGTTCATGTATGTGTATTCAAATATGTCTTTTGAGGTCTCACATTTCGGCTGTTCTTACCTTTGTTGGCAGACATGTGGATACACCTGCGATCACGGCTGACTGGGTGGGGCCTACCAAGGGCCCAGGACACGTAATTGAGTACCGAGTGGTCGGACCAGTGGAAACGGCCATCATTCTCGTAGGTGTGAAGCCCCAGCCACCAGTTGTCCCCATGTGCCTTCGACATCTAAACGTGAGATAGAAACTGTGAAAGGCGTGTTGAGGCCTCACAGCCTTTAAGTCTGCCATGCAGAATAAAGACAATAATTACAAAGACCACAAACAGGTTGCTGCTTGTAAGGTATTTCACAGAGTTTTGCCCTCGTTAAACGGAACTGCCTGCTTAACAACAAGTAATTATTTGCATTTTTGGATAATGTCATCTCGTATAAACAATTATGAACTTTTTGATAAAGTGTGCAGTGCCTTGCTTAAAGTGTTGGCGAGAAAAGCTTCTTCCTCAGCTGAGTGGACGGAGGCCAGCGAGGAATCAAACCAGGAGCAAATCCTCCGGGCCTGGTCCCAAGTGCTGCGATGGTCAAAAAGTCTATATTCAGCCTCCTGGAAGCCAACCCACTCCGGGGAAGTGCTGCCTGACAGGGGGGAGAGAAGAAAGATAGATAGTCATGAGACATAATAGGAAGGTTTAGATAGAAGCCCTTTGGAAATCAATTCAGCATGCTGAGAGAAGTTCAAAGCTTAGAGAAAAACACTGACCTTCAGATTCTTCTGGTTCCGCTTCAACAGTACCTGAAACAACACCCATCATAGATTTCATTCATGAAATACATAATGTGGGAGACTCTAAATGCAATGAATGAAAACTGTAAATCTTGAGAGACTTGTATCAGAGTGATGCTATGGGTGGAGAGGGTATATATATAGATTATTAGAAAATGTTCAGTGTGAAAACGAATACAAAAATGACTAATTCTGGCAGATGATTTAAAGGTAAAGTGTTTAACATTTATGCATTCAAATGTCTAAAAATGTCTAGACCTTTGTTGAAAATGTTTTGAGTTGTTTAATGAAATTATCCCAACAATTTTCAGATTAAGATGAATCCCATATTTGTTTTGAGGTAACTGTTTTTTTTTTTTACGATAAGTCAACCAGATATGGAGTTGTCATCCTTTTGCACATACGTCAGCTTGAAGTTGTCTGCCAGAAGTTGTCTTAAATTACCATTTTATCCAATTTGAGCAACATTTTTACTGTACACTTTTTTAGATCTTGGTCATTTTGACTTTATATTTAAAAATGTTTATTCAATAAACCTAAGTTAATCAAAAAAGACTTTCAGCAAACATTTCTGGATGGTTCGCAGCTTCTCCTCTCTACTGTTGAACCGCTGAAAAAGTTGTAAAAGTTTTTACCATTTTCAATCAGTAAGTCCATTGATTTTGTAAAAGAGAAAACATCTGTGGATAATTTTGCTCCTGGTAAAAACCTACTGAACGATGAACAATGAAAGACTGAATTGTCAATGAAGCTCTTTTATTATTGTTTTGATTAAGAGAATACAAATTACATATTATGTCTATTGTTAAAGGTAGGGTATGTAAGCTCGAGATCGCTAGAATTTGAAAATACACGACCAGAGAAAATCTGCCACTTCCTTACAGAGCCCCTCCTCCAACACACACGAACGCGCACATGACCAATGAGGGCACGAGATAAGTTTGTGCACAGATGGAAGGCTGACAGGCAGGTAGGCCATCCAGTTACTTTAGCCGAGCCGACTAAAATGATTGGTCGTACTTTTTACAGTACTACGGCTTCCACAGATGGCATTTTTTAATGGATTTTTTGTCAAAGCACTTTAGATATTCATTGCTATCGGGATGTTAAGAGCATTCCATGGAATATAACAAAAAGTGTATCTCGAGCCGGTTTCTCAAACTATTAGATCAAAGAAGTGTTCCAGTGTTGTTTTACCTCGAGGGATCTTGCAGATCCAGTCTAACTCAGAGTCACAGTGCATGGCCAGCCAGGTCATGGTGCCCAGGTCTGCTGCAGCACATTGCCGGACATTGTAGTAGTAGCGGCCGAAATTCTGGTACGTGAACTAAGACACAAGCAAAGAGTAAACAGATTATGCTTCAAAATTACATTTCTTTATTTCCACAAGTTTCACCATGGACGCCTCATTCTCTATCTTTAGGTTGCATTTTGTCTTTACTCACAGCCACTCCATCACTCCACTTCCAGCTGCCGTTGTCCATCGGGTTTCTGCGATTCAATCCAATCCAAAACCAGTGCTGCTCATCCTCTGACTCCCTGTGGACCACATCATCATCACCATCATCATCATCATTGTCATCATCACCATATCACACCACATGCCCCCCGGTCAGAGAGGCACACCCACCCAAAGGCCTCGTGGAGGACCTGCAGGACAAAGTGCTCCTCCTCGGGGCTGCTGATGCTCAGCAGGTTGGCTCCGTGTCTCCGGCAGGTGAGATGAGCCTGCAGCCAGCTCAGCTTCTGTTCCAGCTGGGAGGAATGGAACACCTGCACACACGAGATAGAGGTGTTAAATAGATCTTAAATGAAATGCAATACTAGTGTAACAGCATTCGAATTAGCAGTTGTGTCACTTAAACTTTTGTGTCTACTACTTGACAGTGAAAACTGTGATAAACTTATTTTTTGTTATAGACTTTAATGATTTCAATTGTCCTTTTTTAAATTCTACACTATATAATTGTAGGTAAAGTTTATGCATAGCAGCTCACAATATTAATGAGTAACTCATTGGATCAAGGATTTGGTATTGGTTCTGAAAATATTCACATTTTCATTAACTATCTATACATTATTATAAGCTTTGAAAAATACACTTTCAGATATGAGAAATGTTAAAGAAATTATCCTGCCTAATGTTTTTATGAGATATGTTATCCTTTTTAGTTATGAAAGACAGAATATTGCAAGATGTATTTCAGCATTTCATAATGAACACTTTTAGAGTTACTTCATTATGAAGTCTATCTTGTTTTTAACTATGAAGAAGTTGAACTTCTGCTTCTAAATCACAAAAAAAAATAGTTATTCCACTTTGTCAGAATGATCAGATTACATATAACCCATTCAGATGTGTACACAATAAAATGAGAAAAGATTGATCTAATAAATAATAATAATAAATGGGTCTATTACCCAGTTTAGCCATTTAAGTCTAACACTGAATAAATGAAAGACTAAAAACCAAAGTGTGCTGGAGTGACCCTGTGAAACACCTTGTAGCAGTAGCGCAGGTTGCTGTTGCTCTTCCAGCCGCTGGGACAGGCGCCGCTGAGGCTGGGGGTGGGCTGCGGGGCGGGGGGCTCGGGGCTCAGAGACGTGTCCTGGTTCTGACGGCAGATGAATTTCGCCTTTGATGACGCACACTCCTTCACCTCCCACAGACCTGTTGCGGAGCCCATCGCCATGGAAACGCATCCGCCGTGGATGCTGACTGAAATAGATAAAGATAGAGAATGAGGCATCCATGGTGAAACTTGTGGAAATAAAGAAATGTAAAATATTTGAGGAAAATGTATGTTAAGTGTTGCATGTTAGATTACATTCTCCAAACAAAGGCAATGTTTCCTTTTTTAGGTTTTTCTTTCTCTAATCTTCCTTATTGATCTTAGTTATGGATCATATTTTTTCTAATGGTGTGTACATAGGAATAGTCTTCTACATGATGACATTTTTTTGTTTAGTTATAACTCACACCAAAGTCTTTCGCAGCATAGTCTACTAAAGCATCAAAGAGCAGCCATAGTCCCTGCTGAGTTCAGACAGTTTATATTTTTTGGATCTATCTCTGACTTGAAAGCCAGAGGTCTCGCCCACAACTGGTTTTTGAGTCAGCTAGTCTGGTTTGGAAATGACAGTAAATCGAAGATTCCTGATAGCCCGAATTGTACAAGCAGTGTTCGCCAGTGTGCTGACTCATTCCTCATACCCCTTGCTGGGACTTTTTCTTAACTGCTGATCATTTTCATAGATTTGGATCTTACCAAGTCTGCTTCACAGCCAAATCAGGATACCACGATATAGTCATTCGAAGTCTATATTTTGGCTAAAGATGAAACACCTGGGACCTATCCAGTTTCTTATTAATAGATTAAATTAAAAATTGTTATGATTATTGACTTTAAAAAGAACTCTTCACAGCATAAAGAATGAAGAAATGAAAAGGCAGTGGGTGGAAAAGATACTGCAACAATCCCAGTATGGTCATCCTGCATCCTGTACACATAATCAGATCATTTTGCAGGTCATGAACAATACAAATAATCACACACACTCAATAAGTGACTTACCTGGTTGATCACGATTCCAGTTGGTGAAAGACACCTCATCCCCGCTGAGCCAGTGGAAGGAGCCGGGGCTGGTCTGGTCATGGAGGCCGATCCAGAAGGAGTCTCCAGAGCGTCCCAGCACCAGGCTGTTGGCGAAGGCCTGCTCGAACCTTAGATTTACAGGGTTTCTTTTAGAAAGGCAGCACTGACTAAACTGATATCTGTGTGAGTGGGACTGTAAGTGTTACTGTTCCTACCTATTAGTAATGGTGACGAGGGCGGCTCCATGGTCCTCACACGCCTTCTTGGCTTCATCAAAGACAGACAGATCTTCTCCCACCCAGTAACACGCTGGACTGTGCCACTTCCAGCCCTGTGGAGAGAAGGGAGATTAACAGGATATGGACAATTTAAAAAATAATAAGTTAACCTTTCAAAGAGAATATAATTTTACAACGCTTCTCAACACTCTAACCGAGAGGTGTTTTCAATAGTTTATTCGGCTTAACAAGTAGAATAATTCTCTCAACACATGAACAGACACTTCATCCATCAGTTTATCGCAAACACTTAAAATCATCTGCAATTACATGAGTTTTACTGGACAACAGGGAAATTACAAATAAATCTTTGTAAAGTTACTAAGGCTACCAGGATAATGTTGTGGAGCAAAACAAATACAACATTTTCCACAGAGATGTATTGGTGAGGAAGTATAAAGCTACAATAAATGGAAATGTTCAAGTAAAGTACCTGTTGTACAATACTTGAGTAAATGTACTTCAGCCTCTGCTTTACAGAGGTAAAACCATACATGATTCACTCAGAACATCCTTAAAGTCACAAAGGGTCTATTTAAGCCAGTCAAGTGTATGCCAAGTACAGAACAATAAAAAGAACACGTCTAGGCATGCAGAAATAACTTTTCCCTGGCCTCGATTCCTGCTGACAGCTCAGAACTACTGTAGCTGCGGACGTGTACAGATGCACAGCGCTGCCAACACGCAGGAGGTCAGAGGAGGTGATATTTTGCAGGAGAATGATAGTCAGAGACAGTTAATATACAGCATTGTGTGAATAAGCCCAACCTCAGGCTTTTTGCGCAACCACGTTTGGCATCTAGTCAAAAACCTCAAAGATTACAGCTGGAGAGGTCTGATCCGTTCAAACTCTAGTTTTGTTGACTCTCTTTATTGTCCTTTCTTTCCCTACAGTCACTACATCAGTGTTGAATTATAAAATTCTTATAACATGCCATTATTAATACCTATAACATGTTACATCATCAACACAAATTGCAACTAGAATCTATTACGATATAGTAATGCTATGAGACACCACACTTATTTCCACCCATATGTCCATTATGTATTTGTATTATCCTTCACTAAAATAACACAGAAGCTGATTCAATTAACAAGTAAATTAAATGATTTGAAAATAAGCAATATATAATTATGTCTTGACATCAGGACAGCAGATAGCTTGCACATCTTCCGGCGCAGACTGAAAACTCATCTCTTTCGACTCCACTTCGAACGATAGAACTATTAACAAAGCACTTATATACTAATAAAGGACTGACTTATCTAAAGCCAGTTGAGTAGCACTGGAAATGTTTGGCTCTATGAAACCTGATGTACTTATATGATTCTGTTTTCTTCAAGGTTGTGTCTTCCTGGTCGAATGTACTTATTGTAAGTCGCTTTGGATAAAAGCGTCAGCTAAATGCAATGTAATGTAATGTAATGTAATGTAATGTAATGTAATATAAGCCTGGCCTATGCAGCAAAGAAGCATTGTCTTTTTTATGGAAAGTGCATACATTAATGGTCTCTACCCACTCCTGAGTGAAATATCTGTCTCCATAGCCGCTAAATAATGTATAACACATCAACATGGGCTCCACGGTAACTGGGAGAGACATTATCAATTTATTCTGAATTTAAACCAATTCATTGATTAATCTAGAAAGTAATTGGAAGGTGAGGGGCGGCTGTGGCTCAGTGGATAGTGTGCTGGACTTTCGAATCAGGGGATAGTAAGTTCGAGTCCCACTGCAGTCAGCATGTCGTTGTGTCCCTGGGCAAGACACCGCACCCCAAATTGCTCCTGTGGGGATTGTCCACATGTATGTAAGTCGCTTTGGATAAAAGCGTCTAACAAATGACATGTAAGGCAAGGCAAGGCAAGGCAAGGCAAGGCAAGGCAAGTTTATTTATATAGCACTTTTCAACACAAGGCTATTCAAAGTGCTTTACATGTACTGTAATTGGAAGGTTAGTCGATAGCAACCCCTTTCTCATTGTTTTCAGTTATTATAAATCCAATCTCGGAATACATCTAGAACTTAATCAGGAACGGTCTCTTTAAAAACAGAAAATAAAAAATCCCCAAAAATGAACACAACCAACAAAGCTCACATTTAAATGATGGTAGGGGCCCCCTGGCGACTGAGGGGGTCTTAGCAGCTGCTAACGCCGAAGGCTGCCGCTGATCAGTGTTGTCTCATCACTCTGTTTATTCACACATGAAGAAACTGAGTTATCCTTATGATAACATCTCTATCTTTGGAAGCAGAGACGCAACACTTGTATGATGAGTGACTGCTCCAGTGAGTAAACAACATGACAACATTACAGTGATGAGCAATCCTTTATATTTGTTGAGTAATGAGCCGAGTGCATGATGGGGTATGTGATTTGGGGATCATGTGGTGTAATGTTGCTAAAGCAGTCAGCGGGCTTTCTGGCGTTGTTGTTTCACATGTTGCGTGAACTGATCTCGTCTGCTCGATACAGAGCAAACTGCCACGGGGCCCTGCAGCATGTGCCATGCCTAATGACCCTCATCACATGATGTCCTGCTCTCCAGGGAGAGGGAAGATTCATTACACCAAACAGTCCGTACAAAGATCTTTGTTAAATGTGACAGCTGAGAAACAGCATGACTCATCAAAAACATTTAGCAAAAATATGACATTGTTGAAGTGTATAAAGAACACAAACACACACTTTGTTTGCTTCTATCCCTATATGTGATAACATATGTCACACTTTACAGGAAAAAGGACAGGGAAACTTACTTGGCCAGTGACCATAGAAAACAGTGGTCAGGTACAGATAAGTCAGGTATGAGAGGCTTAAAGTCTCATATGGAATGAATTATGGTCCGGGAAATCAGAGACAGATGTAGATATATTCTCCAGATGGGATTTTGTTCATCATGTTGGCACAAGCAGTGGTGGTACAATTTGTTGTTTGTACTGACCGGACTTGTTGAAGGAAGACACAATGACAATTAAAAAAATATATATATAATGATTTTTCTTCTTTTTTTGGGGGGGGGCAATGACAAATATGTCACCATGTCTTAAGACAAAGGAAGAGTGTGAGTGTGCAGCATCAGTGTGTCTCGGCTGCATGCTCACCGTCTTAATGGATTGATTTATATTACAGTTAGAGGCCGGGGGTGAACTGGTGGACCAGTGGACAAGTGAGAGATGAAAGAGAGTTCTGGGGAAGGCGGTCAAAGGTGAACGGCTGAAATACTAAATAATAGTTATGTTCCCTGCTACACTACAAACTGCCAGCAGCTGGAATAAGAGAGAGAAATGCTAGAGGACAGAGCTGAAGGAACAAAATCAGTAATCTAAAGTAGTGCTTCTCAAATGGGTACATCTACAGGTACTTTGAAGTACTGCAGGGGGTACAAGATATTTAAAACAACATTTTAATACAAATAAATGTTACTATGATAAGTATACAAAAATCTAAATGTAATTTTGATTGGCCACATTTGTATATATTTTTTATATCTATTAGCTGCCATAAAAAAACTGTCACAAGGAAGCCAGTTTTGATACAGAATGACAAAGGAAAACCCATAACATTTTAAAACAAAGCAACGATACAGTGAAAAATGTAAAAACGTGTTTCTCTCTTAATTATAAATGCAGTGCAATGCCGTTTGAATGTTATTGCATGATGGCAAAAAATCGGTTTGTCATGAAATTGTAACTTTTAAGTGTTTTTCAGTTACAAAGAGTGCTACAATATACTGCTCTTTGTTTCCTTTTTAACACCATGAAGCATGAAGCACTAAATGCAAAGAGAGTATTACTTGTTTGCAGTCTTGATGTTTTGGCTTCCCATCAGTCTTTGTGCCCGATTTCTTACAGATGGAGGCCAGAGTCAGATTACAAGGGCTGTCATCCCAGCGGCCCTCCTGCATATTTAAGCAAGACACAAACAGAAAGAGAGCACACAGCTGTTAAATATATACAAATGTCGGAGACTGGCTGTCAGTGAGATAACTTTGAGGTGATTAAGTCCCCTGACTTTGGGGGTCAGTGTGAGGGTGAAGGGGATCGACTCACAGCTCCCCAGATGGAGACGCAATCTTCCAGGGTGTTGCGGAAGTTGTTGGGTTCAAAGGGGTGCCAGTAGGTGAAGATAACGGGCGTGTGGTCAGTCCATTGGAAGTCCATTTGCATATTAGTATCATGGAGCCCTATCCACAGCTGGTCAATGTCTGACAGAAGCAAAAGAGAGAAAACATTTTACCACTGGAAAAAGGATGCAGATAAGATAAGATAAAATAAGAAAGAAGGTCAAAGAAGGAAGATAATAAGGACTGGAAAACACCTTGAAAATGCCCTTTTGTGTTGATATTATATAAGATTTAAGGCTTTATTGTCATGTGCACATTAGCTACAGTCATGCCAATGAAAAACTTAAGTCACAGGCTCCTCCAACAGTGCAACATGAATATATATAGGACATAAAACAAATAAAACAGATACAATATATATAAATAACAGGAGTGTTTACTTTTTTTAATGGAAATGTATCCAAATCTATCAGAAAGTGTTCAGATTTGAAGCTGAAGAAAGCACAGCTAACTGATTGGTTCATTGTTCTCCCACTTTGTTCATTTCAACTGAAGAATATACATTAACAAGTGTTTTGAAGTACATAAATCAGGTCACATCACCTTTCTTGAGGTTGCGTATGATGAACTCTAGCTCAGGTAGTGTGTGGATGCTGACCAGGTTGGCCTCCATCCTCTGACAGCTTTTCTGAGCTGTATCCCACTCTATCTTGTCTGAATTCAGCTTGTAGCAGCCAGCCTGGAAAGCCTGCCAGCCCACATCACAGTCATATTTCTCATCATCTGCCCACGAGTCTGTGGGAGTAAAAAGATGAAACCTCTCAAACTCTGGACTTAAACTGATGCATTTCACTTAATGGACTAGTTTTAATGTCAGTACACGGACCAGTGGTGAAGGGGTCCAGGGTGGCATTGGGCCTCTTCTTACACACATATGGCAGAGCAACAGAGCATTCACGATTTTGCCAACGACCTGATGACTCAGTTCTTATCACGGCACAGTTCTCCTCCTCAGCGTGGTTTGGCTGGTCTGTAGGAAGAGAGTTAAGAAAAGAAACAGTGAAGGACTGAAAAAGCACTGGGATCACCAAAAAGAGTGTATTTGAACTCAGAGCAGTGTGTTGGTGAAAACGAGCAAACAAGCTTATTCAGCATTCTGTGGGAAATAGATGTTTCAAAAAGCCCACAGATGCTTTGAGGTTTTAAAAAAGGCAGTAAACGTTGAGTTGTTTTTACAGTCTAACCTTGCTCCCAGTTGAGATATTTCAGTGGTGAGGAGTCGGCCCACTGCCAGCCTCCACTGATGTCCAGGTCATTCAGGCCAATCCACAAAGCTGCACTGTAGCCTGTCAGTAACCCTGAACAGAAGAAAAACACAGCTCTTAATTTTTTGGAAATATGACAAAAATACGTTTTCTTTGGTGAATGAAAGATAACACTCTTTGATGCTTTGATGTCCAGTCCATTAATCTCTCCAGTTATCTGTGGATTTAACTGTCAACTGTTGGGCGGACGACATGATTGTTATATGATTGACAACAGTCACAACGTCTCAGAAATCTATTATTACCGTGCACAGCAAATACAAGTAAACATGATGCTATCAACATTTTCCTTAATTGCTAAAATGGCTTATAGATTAATCATTTTAGATTATTTTTCATGTCTGTCACAGGCAAGATAAGAAAAAAAGGCTCTATTTATAGGCTTGAAAACACAGCTACTTGTTAAATACAATATGATGCTCACTGACATTCAAAAAGATTTTCATTATTACTGTCAATTTAAATACATCCTTGAAGGTTATAAACAAATAGAAAAGTCTTAAAATGTCTCTCAATCTTTTCTATGCAGGTATATCAATTCATGATACATTGTCTAACCTTTTGCTCAGTATTGATTTATTTGTACTGTATCTTTCTGAGGTTTTATATGCTAGTGTATTTTGTCTTGTAGATTGGAGTGTACCCAAAATAAAGCTACTATAAAACAGAAATGGATGCCTCTGTTCACGTATGTCTTCATTTGCACATTATCTTTACCATTGATGTATGTCTGCTCATGCAGCTTAGTGATGCTAAGCAAGTCTGATCCCTGCTGCTGGCAACTGATCCGAGCCTCGCTCCACGACAGCGTAGCCTGGAAGTTAAACTGGTAACAGCTGTCGGTCAGCGGGTCAGTGTCCCAGAAGGTCTCACAGCCACTGCCTGACGGTGAGGCGAGGAGATAAGAAGGTGGTTAGGCCAAGGGAGAAAGCAGGGAAATAACAGCAAAGCAAACAGTTGGGAGAGAGGATACTGTGGTGAAGCTTGCTGAGTTTGATCAAGTTCAAAGTCATAACTCACTCTCTACGGGACAGAAGCCCCAACGCTCGTCTTTGCCGTAGTCGTGGGTGATGGCGCACCAGAGGTGACCGTCCTCACGCCCGATGCTGGTGCAGCTGTGGAACCACTGGCCGTCATACAGGAAGGGCAGATAGCAGGGCCGTCCGTTAGAGTTGCCCTGGATTGTGTAGATCTCTGGGAACACAGACAGGAGAGACTTTGAATCCCCGCACGCAGCAGGAGCGACGTGCTCGTGTTGCCTAAAGTGATTGCTGTGAACTGTGCTGAACTGAAATACCGTATCTGTTTTCTCAAGGATTTGGATAATCAAACACACGGCGAAAAACAGAGGATGATGTTACAGTCCAAACAGTAAAGTCAAACAGTGGTCAGAAGAAGGAAGAGTAAACAAACAGAAATATGAAGGTTGTCCGGAAAATATTATTATACAAAAGGGATTAGATGTAAATATTGATGTTGCAAAGCACAATCTGTAATATATCACAGGCAATTTTTGAACCATAAATTATATATATTATGAATACTTCCTTCCTGCAGCGGTCAGACTATATAACCACCACGGCACCTGGTAGACCCCCCCCCCCCCCCCCCCCACACACACACACACACACACACACACACACACACACACACACACACACACACACACACACACACACAACAACACAGACTATAACACCCCGTGCTGTGAAATACAAATGATGTGCAATATATAAATATCCGTTAATAACTGTGCAATATATACCTGGCTGCTATATCTTCAAAACTGTTACAGGATGTGTATTGTGTAAATTGTGTCATTTAAAACGTTTTTTTAATCTTTAATATTTTCTTTTTATGCATGCTTCTTAGTTAACACTAACATTAAGCTGTCTTTGGCGCTTTTCTGCTTTAACAAATGTAAATGTCCCCTCTGTGGGACGAATAAAGGTATTCAGATTCTGATTCTGAAAATCCCCAGGTCTGGTTTGGAGAAAAGAGCAAAGCAAAGAAAGCAAGGGAGAGGCTGGATCTGTAGTTTCCAGAGCATGTTAAACCAATGGAAAGTATGGCAGACATACGAGGGGGGACAGATTTCTGAAACTCCCTCTCCGCTGCTGGCTGGCTGCAGCGGAGTCGCTCCTCTGCTGACTAATGGCAGAGGCATTCCTCTCCAGCAGCGAGTTGACTTTACAGAGAAATGTGTGAAGATCGGTATAGAAAGCCACAAATGAGTGAAAGAGTTTGAGAAGAGGTCGGATAAAGAAGAAAGTAACAGGAGATCTTGTGGTCTTCCATCACAGTTTGTCAATTAACAACTTGGGACATTTGATATCGGTAAGAATGGTATACTGACAGCGGAAATGAGGCTTAGCAGTAAATCACCATGGCTAGATTTAATCTGGACTGAAAACTATATATAAATACAAATAAAGTTGAGGGCAAGGACAGCTCCGTGTTTACTGCGAGTTTACAAACACCAGCTATGTTTTCCTTGGCTTTGTGACTGGCAGTCAGCCACTTGTCCTCAAAGATGCCCTAGAAGCAACGTTTTGCTAGATCCATTTGATCAGATACAGCTGTGGCCTTCACAACAGTAAGTCTATCTTCCTCACTCAGCGGCCAAACAGAAGAGGAGCTGAATCACCACAGCTGGGAAGTGAGGGGCGTTGGTCAGTTTAATAGAGAAAGATTTGTACACCTCGAATGGATGCTCCAGTGTGATCTAATTTCTTAATTTGGCATGGATTTTACTTGTTTTTTTATTTATGTATTTGTTATTACTTAATCTTTTCTTTATTTCTATATATGTTCAAATACATATATTTTAAAGTATATCTATATATTTTATTGGTCCTTAGAGTAGTCATAGAGGATATTTTTTCAAGCTAAGGTTTTTTAAGCCTACCCTTTTTCTACATTATTTAATAGGCAATTCTTTAATTACGTTTTCACAAACAGAGGCAAAAACAGATCTCTACATGCTTCATGTAAAATATTATTTAAATCTCAGTTGTTTATGTGTTCACCATATAATTGTTAACTTTAAAAATTGTCTTTAAACGAATTACTTAACAATCTCTTTTTTCTTTGGTTCAAAAATCAATACAAATGTTTATTGTTTATTGTATTATCCGTATTATTTGCTAACGATTAAGGATATTAAAAAAATTAAGCTATTTTAAGAGGAATTATTGAGTGTAGTTGTCCATGTTTAGGTGTCTGAAGAATCCTTCTTATGCAAATTGAAATTGCATTTGATTATAAGCATGCTTACCACGATATGTTTTGGAGCACAGGTCCTCTACCCCACCATGCATGGTCCACTTGAGCTTTGAAGGGGGGGAGGTTGAGGAGGAGTTCCAAAATGAGGGTGAGGGAAGATAGATGTTGAGGTTGTCCAACACCTGGCCACAGTTCCAGGTCCAGCGTATTCTGGGGGGCTCGTGGTCACAGGTGTACACGCCCAGAGGAGACCTGTCCGATCTGGCGCTGGCGTTACCCGTGGTTACGCCCAGGCACAGCGAGGAGCCCAGGTTGAACAGGCGACCCCGGGTCACCCACTTCCAGCGCTGGTTGTCTTCCTCACAGGAGGATGCCAGGACCAGGGAGTGATCCCTTACCCCCAGGCACCCCTGGGCGCCCTCATGGAAGAAAGCGAAATCGTCAGAGTCCAGCGGCGCTGTGCAGAGAGAGGAAAACAATGGCATCAGTCAATAACACTGATGAAAGCAACATTCCGTGTTAGCAGCACATGTGGCAGAGAAGAGGTCATCAGCTGGATCAATATCTCCATTAATGGCTGCAGTGCTGGGTCGGGAGTAGTTTGAGATTCGCCCTCTGATGTTCCTGCGTAATACACTTCAGTCAGTGGTATTAATAATAATAATAATAATCTTGTAATAACCCTAAATCCCTGTGTACACATGACACGAAAGAGCTTTCAGTAGGGAGAGATTGCAGAAATGGCATGCAAGAAACTGTGAAAAGTGGTTACACATGTTTTTAATGCAAGGTTGGCAATCAGGGTTGAATCAACATGTACCGTGTTTCAAGAATTACCCAACACTGACCTGGCCTTGCTTCTCATTGCATTGTGTGGTGTCTATTTATGTTGGGTTTGACTATGCCGTTTTGGGAGACACATAATATAAAAGGTCTTTATCATAAAAAGCTGTTAGGTGATACAATTGACCAAAAATTACTTAACAGTTCTCAACTTGAGTACATTGATGAAAGTGTAATTATCCCCAGGGGAGAAATGACTGTTTTCATTCTGCTGACTTCTCACTGCTGTACACTGTTGACACAACTTAAATGTGATTCTCATAGGAGCTATGGTTTACTACAAGCTGTTAACTCAAAGTGTTGCAGTATTCTCAAATACTCATATACTACACAAAAATATCAAATAGAAACTAAATGTTACCAGAAAACTGAGTCATGGAAAAAAGTGTTGAACTTAACACATTCAGAGCAGTGGCTGGGCGCAAGCCTCAGTGACTGGAAGTCTGGGAACAAATGCAACACCCTTTCTCAAAAATATATGTGGTTTTCCTTCATTCCTTTATGATATTTCTTTGTGAAGGATTTAGAGATTGGTAACCAGAGGCCATAATTGTGAAGATAATGGTGCGTGGTAGTGAGTCTGTGTGAAGTTGGTAAACAGAGAGACAAATCAGGAGTGTAGGAGTGATTCTAAATGAAGGTTGTGCTAAAAGGATTTAAAGGAATATGCCTTCACATAAATCCTTTCTCTAAGACCTGAGAATCAGAGGAGAAAAAAATGAGACCTACAGCATTCCTTCTCGCCGGGCTCCTGTGAGAGGCCAGGAAGTGGGGAAGGTAGGAAAAGATCACTGTGCATTTGGTTGAAAAACATAACTCTCCTATGTGTGGAAACTTCACTCCACTCTGCGGCTCTCTCTTGTTTCCTACTTCTAAGCTCAAACACTCAAAACCTCCTGTGCTGCTTTTATAGACACAAAGACAATGGAGTCCCATCAAGAGCCCCCCCATAAAACGCCCTGTAATCTGGAGGAGACGGTAGACACGCCTCTCTCCTTGCTCTCAGCTTCTGCGGTTGAGTTTCTCAGAAGCTGTGTGTATGTCTTTTGGTCGGTAGCAAAGCAGAAAGAGAGCGCAGTGGGAGAGTGGTTATGCATATGTTTGAAAGTGCTCTTTACGGTTAATCAGATATAATCACCACCATGTTCTTTTTATAACTCCATATATCTTACAGTAACACCCAGCTGTTCGGCTTGTTTCGATCGTTAAAGATTCAAATCTGTTCACAAAACATCTCAGGGGGGTTAAACATATAACACTGGTTCAGTTATCAAAAAACATTTCAGTTGGTCTTCATTTTCCAGCAGTAGGATCTTTGAGTGACTCCTCGATCAAACATCAGTAAAAACCGGTGGAAAATCACTGTCTGGTGAATCTGTTAAAATTGGAAGCTATTTTATAAAAAGAAAAAAAAGAGCATTATATTTTTGGAATTAAAAGTGAATAACTAGTCATTCTTTTTGGAACTTCTGCTTAAAAAGTCATGCAACAGATGAATCAACTATTAAAAAGATGGAATAAAGATGGATATCATTTTGAGTTTAAACTTTTAAGCCCTCAGGATAGTTTATATAAATCCCTTTGTGCCTTGTCCTCAGTTCTCTGCTGTAATTTGTTTCCACTATACAATTAAAGTGATGTCTTCCACTATAGACAAATAACGTTATTAACTAAGCTCAGGATGTACGTAGCCTACACCTACTTGAATAGCTGGAGTTACACAACACTGACTTGTTAACACATGTGCCAACATATCGGTCGTATGACATTTTGTCCTTTTCACTACGGGAATTAAAGCTTTACAAAATAAATACATCAGTGTCAGCTCTAGATTCCAACACTGGTACCAGCCTAGCCTTACAGAGAGTGTTAAATGAACTCCTATAGATGAATGTAAGCTCAGTATTAATATTTGAATATATAAGAAGTTCCTGGCAAAAGCTTGTGAACCACTATAGACAACCTGAAGCTACAGATCCTGACAGCAAGAAGCAAATTCAAAAATAACTTTGAATTCCAGTCTGGAGGGCACACAACTGGATGTTTGATGTGCGAAAACTCCCGGGCACTTAGAGAGAGAGAGAGCAGAATTCCAGATTTACTTTAAGCCATTGAGCCCTGTGGAAGCTAAGCCACAACAGCTCTCCTGCTGTGATCTCATCCTCTTCTTTGCCCTGTCACACCTTTTGTTCAATGTTGGAGACCGTTTCCTGCTGAAGAAAGAGGCTGAAACTCACAGCCAAGGACACGCGCCAGGAGAGGCACGTATTCCCAGAACCTCCGCCTCCACTATGGGGTCATCTGCTAGACCAGGTTTGAGGACAATACTTGCAAACGTGGGTGAAGGCTCAAAAGCAAGTTTCGATATGAAACCATACAAGTTCAACACACTTCTCGAGATCACATTGTTTGGTAGAGTGTGACTCATTGCTGTTGCCAAATAGTTACCACTACATAGCCTATTTTTCAAATGTGTTGTTCGTAAGGTTGTATATTAAGATCTGGATTGACATTCAAGCAGGCTTTTCCCGTAACCTCTCCATATTTTTGACAGATGTCTGCGATAAAAAACAGGCCTTTAACTTGCCAGCGTGATGTAATGTAATCAACAAATAGCTAGGAAATTCCAGCCTGCTGTGTTTGTTTCTTTGGTGTTTTATGGTGGTCTGGCCTCTGAAGCAACCCAAACTGTGGATAGGTTTAAGCTCATCCAAGAACCTTGGCAGAGGAGAGAAAGAGAGGGCTATCTGGAGAGAGTGTATGCATCTCTCAGCCACATTCACAAACGGAGCGAACTGGAACCTCTAGGAAAGTGTGTTTGAAATGTAGAAACATAAGTGAAAAAAGGTGCAATCTTTCATCACGTTCCTCTATTCACACTCATGCATGGTATTGGTAAGGACTGTGACACAAGATTTTCATCGACATAACTACACTGTAGCTCTGTTCGTTTGACAAATAAAGAACCTTGAACCTTGACTTATAAAGATAAATGATCTAATCATTTCTGAAAGGTGTTTAGTGTAAGATCAATGACAGTGTTTCTCGTGAGTTTGACACCAGAAACCACCACAGAGCATTAAACTAATTTAGAATGACATTGAACAAAATATGAGAGTTCAATAATAAAAGGCTAAGATGTTTAACGTTTAACTAATTGCGCAAACAATAAAAATCCAAAAACACATTTCGTAAAATAAATCCACAAAGACTATTTTCCCTTCGATCCTTCTGCAGCCCGTCCAGTGGTGCAAAGAATTTAAGAGGGATTGTTAACTTTGGCAACAGGGGAATTTGATGGCATATAGGCAACATTTGTTCCAAAATAAAGCAGCTAAACATCGTTTATATAGCAGGAGCCAATTTTTTAGGGATAAGAGTGTAAAAAGTAGAAGTGTAAACCAATCTTAGTATCTATCTCGATGCAACTTCAAGATCAAAGTAAGAGTACATAATAGGACTGCAGCAAACAATTAATTTCATTACATTACATTACATTGCATTTAGCTGACGCTTTTATCCAAAGCGACTTACAATAAGTACATTCGACCAGGAAGACACAACCTTGAAGAAAACAGAATCATATAAGTACATCAGGTTTCATAGAGCCAAACATTTCAAGTGCTACTCAACTGGCTTTAGGTAATCCAGTCCTTTATCAGTATAAAAGTGCTTCGTTAATAGTTCTAACGCTCGAAGTGGAGTCGAAAGAGATGAGTTTTCAGTTTGCGCCGGAAGATGTGCAAGCTATCTGCCGTCCTGATGTCAATGGGGAGCTCATTCCACCATCTTGGAGCCAGGACAGCAAATTGATTATCATTATTGATTAATCTGCCTATTGTATTCTAAATTAATTGATGAATTGGTTGGACTATAAAATGTCAGAAAGTAAAACAAAATGTAAGGTTATGTCTTTAAATAAATAGAAAAAAAGTGATATTCAGTCTAATTTGACAAAAGAAGAGAAACAATTGCAACATTTATATTAGAGAAGCTGAAGCATTTGCAATAAATGTGCATGAAAATGTAAGATTAAAGGAAAAAATGATAATGTATTGTGTTGGTGAATAAGAGAACATACTTTATGGTAGCCTAGTTTGCCCAGAGTTTAAAGTATTTATGCTGAAATTACTTAATACTGACAATATAGTCCTACAAACAATATCATGATGCAACCCATCTTGAAGTTGCACAGTTCACTGTATAATAATACTAATACATCGCAGAGAGCTTATTCAAGTTATAACATGTTGAAAACAAGCCTGGACACTGGAAACATTAAACACGAGATGAAAAATAACAACACTTTAAAAAAAAAAAAAAAGTATAATCTATGTGTTAGAAGACATTGTGTGGGTGGTTGTACTCTCCAAAGCATCCCATAACATGTAATGGTGTAGTAGCTGCTCAGGGTCGGCTCAATGTGTTAATTGCAGCCTGTAACCGGATGTAAAGGTCACATCTGCCCGCAGGGTGCCAAACCAAGCGTCACCCCTTACAATGTAGCCTAAAGAAAAACACCACCCGGCACGAAAATAGAACAAACAAAGCAATGTGTGCGTTGTTTTGCGGCTTTACATAAACGTATACATAAATAGAAATCACAATAGAGACAGTAAGCCAGCAGCCCCTTCCCTCCTCCCTCCGTTTTTCTCCACATCTGGTTCCACTCACTGCTCGGACTTTTGGTTCGTGGCATACCGAAGCACTAACTGCAGAATGCGCAGAAATTATGTTTATGTGTCGGCTTTCTAACACATTTCCCAACTGTAAGTCGTTACCAAAAATAGAAAGCATGCCCAACAGGTAACACGTCGACTTGGTTTCTCGACTTTTATATCACTGGAATTAAGCGAAAGTTGATATTTTGCTCACCAGTGACGCTCCTCTTCAGTTCCAGACTAAAGATGAATAAATATAAAGTGCATTTGTAAAATAAAAGTTGCCAATTTGTCCATGTTCTCTTTGATTCCTTAGTTCGGTGACGTCCGTTGCCTTGCATGCTCACAACTGCAACCCACGAACACACGCTGCAAAAAAAACGTCCCAAGAAAAAAAGTGATCCGGAGCAGGACTGCCCCAGTGTCTGACTCTGATGTGATGCAGAGACGGAGAGGAGTCTGACCGCTAGAGATCCGTCTGCCTGAGTCAGAGGAGAGTGAGATGAATGGAGCAGCGTCAACAACGTGTGCGCGCGCGCGTGTGTGTGTGTGTTTCCCAACATGTGGTCCGGGGACCTCCAGGAGCCTGATAGAACCCCCAATAGCATCCGATGACTGGTGTCAGGGAGAAAACAACACCAACTTGAGAAAAAAGTCTTTAAGAATCCGACAAAACCATTCTGAAAATAGTCATTTAAAGCTAATCTTGGCTGTCGGAAAAAATATATTAAAATACAACTAAATGAAACAAATACAGTAACGATGAACACAAATCACATGTCAAATCTGATTCGGATATTTGAAAACGTCCGAAATCCATTCTGGACATAATTATGATTATTTTAAGTATTTATGTTCAGTCTTTTGCACAAAAACAATTCTATAGCATTTCTGTTTCTTTACTCATGTGTCTTTTTGGCACACAAAGTTGGGCGCATAGTCTGCTGACCCCTGGCCCAGTTGACAATTTTAGAGACCTGGATGATTACCTCTGGCAGAGAAAGAACCGGAGCTCTACCAAATGTTTGGCCTCACCCCAAGTATGGATAGGACTCACCCTGAGATGCTGATGCAGATGTGGACATTATTTAAACATTATCCAGGCATCATACTCCTCTGCCTCTCTTGGAAAGCTAATATGATGGTGCTTGAAGGGAGGGTGTGAATCAAATATCAATTGGTATATCAAAGTGTATATTTCAGTCAAAGCTTATGTTTGGATTGAGTTTGAAAACGTAATAAAGGTTTATCCTTATCCTTACAACATTAACATACAGTTTGAGAAACTTCAAATTGTATCAATTACATATCTTTGTACCCATCACTTCATACCTGGGCCTTTTCTTATTTGACGCCTAATGAAACTGCTGTAAAATCGTCATAAAATCGACAATTGTTTAATCTTTTCAACGGCAACAAAACATATCTCACTTCGCCAACTGTACAGCGAAATGTGTGGCGTAGTTTTGCAGGATGTCCCGCATCACTCTATTGACAATTCTCTGACCAACTGTGGTCAGCAGTTTCTTGGAACCAGGGTGATATCATGGCTACTATCCACCAGGCAAGTGCAGAGGATGGTAGAGGAGCAGAGGCCCAAATATATAAAAGGGCAAGTTGGCCATTTGTGTTACTTTTAAATAAATATATGCCTGTAATAACTACTTTTATGACAGCTTTAATGGATAATAAAATGTGTGTTTTTCAAACAAAAATGGGGTTGGTTCAAACACTGCTACATCCCAGTTAATGAATGATACATGCAAAGAAATTAAGTATATTTCGGTTAATTCTTCTCGCATGTCCTCTCTCGCCTCCATATTTCTCAGGCGTCAGGCACAATGCTCCTGTAATAGGCAATAAGAAGATGTTGATATTGTACGGCTAAGATACTGCTACTATGTGCCAAATAATTTGTTTAATATAATTCACATATCGATAATTGATTTGTTAAAAAAAGGGCTCTTTCCTAACAGGAGGGCAAAAGGGCAGGTGCTGAGGTCTATCTGTGCACTTGCCTGGATCTGACCAATCACCAGAAATCACCAGTCGTGCAGCAGTGGAGGATTGGTAGGGCGTCAGTAGTGCTTCGGTAGGAGGGAGCTGAGTCTGAAAGCAAGGCTTTGATTTCCTAGTCAATCTATTTTTGAACTATATCCATGATCTTGAGCTTTGCATAGGGACTGAACTAATAAGATTGTAGGCAGCTGTAACTATTCACCCTTTGAGATAAAGCAATGAGCTCAGATGTCCAGAGGGAGCTCAAATAAGAACCGGTGCTCCTCTGGGTCATTAGGAGAAAGGTCTCAGTGAGGTGAGTGAGCGTGTGCATTCTATTGAAAGATTTGTGGGCAGGACTGGTAGAAGAGCTCATGGTACACCCAGAACACGCTGAATATATGGTATATCTTATCTGGCTTAGGAACACGTCAGGATCCCTCAGGAGGAGCTGGAACCGGTTGCTAGAGTGAAAGAACATGGAACAGTGTATGTCAAGAAACAAAGCAACTTAGCCTCGATACATAAAAATTAGGGCCGGGACTCGATTAAAAAAATTAATCTAATTAATTAGAGGCTTTGTAATTAATTAATCGAAATTAATCGCATTTTTAATCACATATAAATATTTGACCTAAGAACAGTGAGAAGCAATTTTTTTCACATGGATTTTAGTATACCATTAGGCGCATTCACACCGCAGTACTTTTCCCACAAAGGTTCATGAGAACTTAGTTCATGAGAACTCTTTGAACCTGGGGGTGGATTAGTCAAATTAAGCCGCTGACGTCACTTCTTCTTCTTCTGCTTTGGGTTTACTGGCAGGCCGCAAACCACTTCACGGCGTATACTGCCGCCCAAAGTCCCCGGCCGGAAGTCCCCGGAGTTGGGGACTGGCTTCAGTAGAAGCTGCTGGGAGTCCCAGCAGCCTTCCGAGTAAATCGCCAGAACGCCGACACCTCCTCATCTCCACCGCTCCCATGTTTTATTTTGTGTTGCCATAAGTTAGTCTCTCTGCGTTTCTGCGCTGGGCTAATGCTAATAATGCTAATGCGAGGATAATAAAATGGCGGCTTCACAAAACTTTTTGGGAGTTTTACGGGGCGTGGTTTGCAATCCGCCCAGCCAATCAGAAATATAGCTCTTTTCTCACAAGAGAGCCGTACGAAAGTCCCTGCTCTCTAGCAGCTCTCTGTTCTCTAGCAGGGACTTTCGTGGGGGTAAAAAGGTTCTCATGAACTAATTTTAGTACCGGCTCTTTTTGGTGTGAACGCGATAAAAGAGGCTAACGTCCACGCTAGCTGCTATATGTTTTGCATTGAGGTGATACTTGAGGCTTGATGTGCTGCGGTGATATGCGAATTCCTTTTTGCATAATTTGCACACAACCGTGCTCTTATCGACGCTTCCATCCGTCCGTTTTTTAAAACCACATTTCCCACTGTTGTTCACTGTGGTTTGTTGTTGTCTGAAGTCATGAACGTTAGTTGGTGCTCCAGTATAATCGGTACGCCTGAAACTCATCCAGTGAGAAACGTTCCGCGGTGCAAAAATAAGTGCGATTAAAATGCGTTAATTTTTTTAACGCGTTAATTGTTGTGTAATTAATTAATCTTAATTAACGCGTTAAAGTCCCGGCCCTAATAAAAATACATATTTGGTGTTTCTCCCAGAGAATTCAGGCACAAATTACATTCAATTTGAGGCCATTGGTTCTAAATTGAAATATTGCAACTCATTGGACTTAGGGTTGAAGCAAAATGCAATCCTGCTCCACCATCTGGTCCAAAACACAGCTGTTCGTCTTTTAGAAATGGGACAGGTTACAAAATCCACCCCGTTTTAGCCTCTCTTTACTGGTTAGAACTATTTTTCTGATCAACCTTAAAGCCTTTCATGGTTAAGTCTAAAGGCAAGTGTTGTTGTGGGCCCCTCAGCTCTGGAACATCCTGCTTGAGGGCCAGAGGCTTGCAGAATCTGTGACATCTTTCAAATCCCTTCTCTTATCCTTTGCTACAGCCTTTGATTATTTAAGCTGCTATATTTTCAACATTGCTAGTTATTTGCCATATATGTTCTGAATCGTTTTAGAGCATTTTGTTATTAATGTGGCATTAAAGTCCAAGTTTACAGTCAATTTGAATTGTTTCATCCATGTAGTCACTAATGACTAGAGCTGCTTCATTATGGAAGAAATTCCAATTCCAATTATTTTGGTGTGAACATAGAGATCACAAATTATTTTACATAATTACCCTTACTCATTGACTTTGGAAACTATACATTATAAAGTTAAATACATCGCTCTAGTGCACTTTTAAGAGCAACATTAAGAGGCTATAGATCTATGAAGAACTTTGTGCTCTATGGAACAATTTAATTTGAAACACATTATATAGATATGAATGGTGATGACACGGGAGAAATGTCACACCCACAAAGAAAACAAGGCAGGGTCCGTGTTGCGCCTCAGACCACCATCTGCCCCACTAGACAGTTGTGCCGGGGGGCAGGAGACCCAATCCATCCTAAACAGGGAGGGCAAAGTTAGTATCAAGTCCTCCAAGGCTCCCAGGAGGAGACATCAGGCGAGGAGTGGTGCACCTCAGCAGAGCGTTTCCGCAAAACAGATCATTTGAAGCCAAAGTTGTAATTGAAAATTAAATTTAAATAACAGAACAGCGCTAATAAAAATATATTTGGTTTATACTCTGTAAAGTCAAAAACAAAATATGAGTACAGACATAATAAGCTAATATGAATGTAGCTGTGTTGTAAATAGTAGGTATTCCTTGAAAGAAAGTGGTGAGGGTCAAGGAAGTCAGACAGAAGCCCAGAACAAACCCATTTTAACCAATAGTATTTAATGGCTTATGCAATTCTCTGCTAAGGCCCAATCTCCTCCAACAGAATTATTAGATAAACCAGTCCCTTGCATTTTATTAACCAAAAATAAATTCAAACATACCTAAATAAATATGTGTGTTTATGATAGGGGGTCAGTCAAAAACAATAACAGTTCTAATTAAAAGGCAACTTGAAAAACAAAACAGTTTTCTCCATAAAACTGTTTAAAGTCCTTTAAAAAAAAATGTAAAAGGGGTCACTTTTGAACAGCTTCCACTTCATATCAAGTAACACAACTCTAAAACCATTCATTATAAAAACGGAGGTGGAACACTGCCACCAGCTGGAAGTTATAAGCTTTGGTCACAGGCGTTTGACGAGGAGAGGGGAGAGGGGACGGGGAATCGTAGCGTCTGTCCATCCTCGTCACAACATTTCTGGGTCTGGAATTGAAGCGGGGCAGGGGGTCCCAGAACAGCAGGTTGGGTGACATAGTGCCATAGATATTTAGGGTTCAATACAATAAACAGGCCAGGCTGGTTCTCTCAGTTCAGGGAGATGAGAACAAACCAAATGTTTGAGAGGGGGGATGTAAGACTACCGCGGAGCAGCATGGCTCATGCATGGGTGTATGTGTGAGTGCCTCC